GCTCAAGGGTCTATTCCAACATGGGTACTCCGTGGACGCAGAGATAGCAACAGCAGAGAAACAGAAGCTATTACAGTGGGAGAAAGACTTAGCGGTAAGGAAGGGTTCAGGAATGATTTGGGTACCGAATTACGACCCGCTACAGCAAATTCAATTGGAGGAGTTTCACGATGTACCATACGCGGGACATTTCGGGAGCAACAAGACGTTAGCGGAAATAGCGAAGTAGAACTACTGGCCCCGGATAGCAGCAGACGTGCGGCACTTTGTCACCTCTTGCGACACGCGCTAGTGGATGAAGAGTAGCAAGCAGAAATAAGCGGGGTTACTTCAGCCTCTACCCGTACCGGAGCAACCATGGCAGGTCGTTAGCCTCGACTTCATCACGGGACTTCCTTCGACCTCACAAGGGCATGAATTCATCCTCGTAGTGATCGATAAGTTCTCCAAAATGGGTCACTTCATTCCAACCAACGCCACTGCTATAGCTGAAGTAACGGGTCGATTCTTCTTCGACCGCATCATCACCATCCACGGCATCCCCGCTACACTCATCTCAGACAAAGACCCAAAATTCAGCAGTAAAATTTGGAAGGAGCTTATGGGATTGTTGGGGACTAAGCTTGCAATGTCTTCAGCATACCACCCCCAGACTGACGGACAGACGGAGCGACTCAACCAGGTGGTTGAACAGTTACTGCGCACAGCTTGCAAAGACGACATCAGCCACTGGGACACACAGTTACCGACCTTAGAGTTCGCTTACAACAACGCCTCACATGCGGCCACTGGGAAAACCCCTTTCTTCCTGTGATACAGACGGGAACCACTCACACCACAACAGCCGACCACACTGGCATACGTCACCACCATGCAGCAGCTGTGGGAGAAGGCTCAGGGACGTCTCACCACGATGCAGAACTCCCAAAAGCAGTATGCCGATCGCCAGTGACGAGATCACTCAGTAGCAGTCGGAGATCAGGTGCTTCTTGACACACGCAACTTGAACCTGTCTCACCTACCATCCAAACTCCGGCCTCGCTTCTGTGGTCCCTTTCTCGTGGAGGCACAGGTGACACCAGTTACATTCCGTTTGCGCTTACCAGATACATGGAAACTTCACAATGCTTTCCATGTTCATCTACTGAAGTCCTACAAGGACACCAACAACAGTTCCAGGGACGGCCGCCACCGCCACCTCCACCTGTACTCGTCCAGGATGAACTAGAGATCGAGATCGAGCGCGTTCTCACTCATCGGCGCCGCGGCGGCAAGACCCTCGAGTTCCTGATACGATGGAAGGGATACGACCCTACTGAAGACAATTGAGTTGTAGAAGCTGATATGGGCTACGCACGCCGTCAGGGTTGAGCTCGATCTCGCCGGTGCAGAAGTACCTCAGGCTGGAGATCGTGCGCGACAAGCCGGCAAGAAAGCTGTGGCTGCACCGGCAGGGCTACGCCGACGAGCTGTATTGGCACTTCATCGACGAGGAGCAGGGCGGTCGGACCCCGAAGACGCCGGTCTCCGTCAACGCCTACGACGAGGAGGCGCAGGAGCGTCAGGAGGAGGAGTACCGGCAGAAAGTCGGCTCGCTGCAGTTCGCGGCGACGACGACGAGGCCGGACATCGCCTTCACCTGCAGCAAGCTGAGGAGCGGCCTCACGGTGAGGAGCGACCAACACTGGCGCGAAGTCGACCGTTGCCTAGCCTACCTCGCCAACACGCGCGATACCGCCCTGGAGTTCAGCGGTGGACTTGAGTCGCTGCAGCTAGTTGGCTACGTGGACGCCGAGGACGCCGGTGATAAGCAGAACTGGACGAGCACGGGCGAGTATGTGTTCGTCTACGGAGGGGCCGCGGTCTCCTGGTCGAGCCAGCGCATCAAGTGCGCGACGCTCTCGTCGACCGAGTCGGAGTACGTGGCGGCCGTCGAAGCCGGCAAGGAGTGACGCCGACTTCGCTTGCTCCTAGCACAGCTCCAGCAACCGGACGCCGGAAGACCGACTGTCCTGACGGTGGACAACAAGTTAGCCATCACGGTCGTCGAAGGCATGGGGTTGACTGGCAACCTCAAGCACATGGGGCGGTGACAGGCCTGGCTGCAGCACATGGTGAAGCGGGGGAAGTTTTCTCTACAGTACATTCCGACCGCTGAGCGGCCAGCCGACTTCCTAACGAAGGCGCTGCACTATCCGGCCTTCAACCGGTGCTCCGTCGCCATCGGCCAGGTGCGCTTGGCTGGGCGACGGCGACAATGACGTGCAGCAGTAGGTGCCATGCCCTCTTGCATGGCTGGTGCGGTGACCGGCGTGCTGAGCGTGGGGTGCACGCCGACGAGTTATTCTCCGAGGGGTCTTGCCTTGTGAGCTGGGGGCCCAAGCGTGAACGCGGCAGGGGAGTGTCATCGGGAGTGGTGTTTGGTCCCGTCCGCGCTTGGGCGGAGTCGACTTCTTGGTCGGGTGTGCGGGGGTTGTAGCCGACATGCAGCAGTGGGCGAGCTGGCCGACGGAGTTGGTCGACCTGTACGGGGACCACTGCAAGGGGCGCCGACTTGAGGAGGGCGCCGACTTCGGGTGGTCGACTTAGGAGGTCGACCCGAGGAGGCGTCGACTTGGCGACGCCGACTTGGGGCAGCCGACTTGGGTGGCCGGCTGACGGGAGTGCTGGTCGACCTGGAGGTGGTCGACCAGGAGTGACGTCGACCTGGAGCTGGTCGACCGAGGGTGTGGTCGACCTGGTGAGGTCGACTAGAGGTGGCCATTGACTTGGGTGGTCGGCGGGCACGCGCAGGAGCAGTGTGTCAAATGTGGTTGCCTTGTCGACCAGGTTTCCTGGGTGACGAGGTTCTGCGAATGCACGCGACAGTCGCCCAGGCAATGTTCCCGAAGAGGACCTCGGGGGTGGTATCCCGAGGTCGACGTGGCTGATCAGAAGCAGTCGTCAGCACGAAGTTGATGTGGTGTGTGCGCTGTGCAGGTGACGGGGCACTGCACGCCAATCATCAGCGAGCATTTGCAAAGCGGGTGCACTGCTGTCCTGCGGGAGCAACGTTGGCACGCCGTCAACCTGCGACGTTGGCACGCCGTCGACTTGCAGCATTGGCAAGCCGCGACTCTGTTCTGCTGAAGCGCGGTCGACCAAGTCGTGCTGGCACGCGGTCGACCGTGCTGCGCTGGCAGTAGACTTGCTTGCATGCTAGCTCTGATGTAGTCTTACCTTGCCAACTTCGTTGTACCATTGTTGTGAACTTTTGCTAGTGAAACTCTTGCCAATTCTCCCTGTGAACTAGCAAGTAGTGTGAGCACTTGGAAACGACTAAGGAACAAATGCTACGATCACTCCCACCACGTGCCTAGCCCGTAGTCTAGCTCCCGTTGTAGTAGTTATTTCCGCATATTCCGCAGGTTGACTTTCGCCAAAACCTCATGGGCGAAATACGCACGCTCCCGCAGAGTTTCGCAGTCAAGCGAATCCGGTCGACCAGTTCGCCGAGAAAAGGCTCGCAGAACAGCACCCCTTGCTCAGTGAATGTGGCTTCTCAAAATGCGCACCTCTTATCAGAGTTTGCACAACTCATTGATTGATCAGAGGACGAGCTCATCGAACGACATCCCGTCGATCAGTGCTCGTCGTTGGGCTAGCCGACTAGAGAATGGCCTCGTCAAAAACCAGCCCTCGTATCAGAGGACGGGTTGGTTGACGATCTATGTCGTCTAAACCTAAGAGCCAATGCGTCGATCACTACATCAAATTCACTATGTCGCCGCGGAGAACACACGTGCCAAGGCGAGGGCAGGACCTTTCACTTCGACAATAAAGTCAAACTTCAATAGTCAAACTTTGATGTTCTATCTGTTTGATGTGCACGGTGATGCTGCGCCTTGACCACCAAAAGTCGAGATAGTCGACTACAGTTCGACCAAAGTTCAAATGGATAGAGTCGAAAGAAAACCATGAACTTCTAATATACTCCGAAAGACACGCTCCCTAAGAAAAAAAAAACGGTAAGAAATAAACAGTGACCCCGAATTTAGTGGTAACAAACATTATGAACGGTCAGGCAAAAGGGTAGTTTCACGTGCCTGATAATAGGGTTAATACGTTCAATCCCTACTAGTCGGTAAAATATAACGCGAATAGTCATAGATGAAAATTCCAAAAAAAAAAAACAAACAAACAAAAAAAAACTTAGGGAATCGAGACGCGTTTCCGAGCGGATCAATCCTAAACGCGTAACTCGCATAGTATTAATGGTTGATTCGTCCCTAAATTGTATCCAGTTCTGATTGAAATTTAGTATATTTTCGAATTGTTTGCAAGAGCCGGAAAAAAATTCGAGTTTCAAGTATTTTTTTATAAGTTTCAAGCCCGACCATTTGCGTTAAACTCCTCTAGCTAATACTGACTTGTTTCATGGACTTAGTTTTTCCCGCGCCCTAACGCTCATCCTTCGAAGGTTCCATTTTCTTCCGCGGTTTCTTTACGGGCAGTCAAAAACATTTTAAAATTCATCACAGCTCATTATTGTTATAGCACAAATCGCCACTTGTTCCGCCATCGTCACTCGGGTATCACCCCTCGTTACTCGTTATTGGAAAAGAGTATCACGCATAGTCAGATTTGATGATTATTGGAATTTGTAATAATGTCGCTGAAAGTCTCCGACACACTGATGAGTGGTGATACCCGAGTTAGGATCCATGATAGATTTTGTGGAACAAGTGACGATTTGTGACAGAACAGTGATATGCTGTGATAAACTTCAGTACACCCTCGTTCTCACTCATCTCACCGGCGGAAGCACTGGCTACAGTGTTTGGACGTAGCGGGCTGGTGAGATAACTTGGTTGCGGGCAAAGTTGCACGAGGCGAGGAAGCAGGACTTGGGGCAAACAAAGAACCGTTAACGCTGAATATCCGTCTTAACCGCTTTGAAAACAGCAGTAACATTCCAGAACGTTTAGAACCTTGACTCAACGCCTTGGGTCAAATTGTCACTATAACGCATGTGATAGGACCAACTTTGTTTCAGAATAGCCAGGCGCGTCAGGGACAAAGCCAAGGAAGACACAGGGAAGCGTGCGGGAGGAGAGCTTGTCCGCAGACGTATCGCGGACAAGGGCACGAGCACCCCACACCCGGAAGCGCGACGCATCGCCAACCTCCCCCGTCCAACGCAGTGTGGGCGAGGTCTCCGGCAAGGAGACACGGGGCCAGAGGTTGAGCTGATGCGCGGCGTACCGGACAGCAAACGGCCACAGAAAATGGGGAGCCGCCGCGTGGACCAAGGAGGTACGAGCGACCTCCATGACCAGGCCAATGCGGCGCTCAGCAACCCCATTCTGCTGTGGGGAGTCCGGAAGCGTGAAGGTCTGCTCGATGCCCTCCGCCTGACAGAAGGTCCTCAAGAGATCGGAGGAAAACTCACCACCTCTGTCAGAGTGCAGACGCAGGACAGGAAGATCCGTCCGGAAACGGCGGCGGAGCTGGAGACGAACCGTGCGGATCCAAGGGATCAGAACAGCAGGGACCTCACCCTTGGTGCGCAAGGGGAAGACCGTGGTGTAACGCGAGTAGTCGTCGACAACCAGCAAAAAGTACCGCTCACCGCCCTGACCACGAACGCGGGCTGGGCCCCACACGTCCAGGTGGAGGGTCTGCAGAGGAGCCTCTGTCGGGGGGAACGAGGAGGAGTGAGGAGCGGCGCGCTGCCGCCCCTCGACGCAAGGAAGGCAAGGCGGCGCAGGCGAGGCAGGGAGGGGAGGGAGGGACCTGGGAAGACCAGACACAAGGTGGCGACGGTGCATGCCACGAAGGCGTGGCAAGGAGGGGTGACCCAGGCGGTGGTGCCAGAGAAGAGTCTGGTGCGACAGGGAACGACACTCACAGGCGTGGGCTACCAGACCTGACGCAGACACCTGACCGACAGCAGCGACCTGAGGAGACGCAGTGGTCAGTGTGTAGAGACTCGACCCCGGCCGACGGGTAAACGTAGCCAGGTGACGGCCGGTCCTGGAGCACGTGCAGATCGCCACACGCTGTCCGCCAGGGGTAAAGGTGTCAACCCACTGATCCTGGAGGACAGCGTTGCTCACCAGGTTCGTCGAGAACGAGGGGAGGTGGAAACCCGACAACGAGCCAGACGGAACCGCCGGACAAGGGAGGACAGTGGTGGACTGGGCAAGGACTGGGCCCCCAGAGGGGTCAGCCAAGGAGACTGGGACCGGTGCAGGAAGCGGTGTGAGCTCAGTACTGTCACGAAAGAAGCAACGGGAAGCACCTGAGTCAAGGGTGAAGGTGTGACAGGCCTCAGCCGGTGCGGTACCTGAGAGAGCAGTCTCTGTGGGTGCTGTACCTGAGAGAGCAGACTCGAAACCAGCCAGGACAGCACTGGGGGGAGCAAGTACAGGGGGCACCATACCAGAGAGAGCAGACTCACTAGTACCCAGGGCAGCGGGCTCTATACCTGGGTCAGGCGGCACACACAAGTAACAGTCTCCCTCGGCACTAACAGTCAATGCATACATGGCAGCAATAATAGCATCATAGTCAAGAGCAAAGACATCAACACCAGCCCTCATGAGCTCAGCCCAGCGGGGGCGCTCAACATCCGCGCCCATCTCCTCACGCCAAGCGTCGTCAAGGCGGGAGAAGCAGCGGTACGGGGTGTGGAACCTCCCACACGTCTGTCCCTTGCGGTCACCTGTGCGAATGACATAAGAACAGCGGCCACTGGCCCCCGACGTCCCACGCTGAGCAAGCCACTCACGAAGCTGCTGGGTCGTCTGGGGACGCTGCTGCTGCTGGGAGCTCTGGCCCGAGCCAGTGCCTCCACTCCGACCGCCGCCGCCACCACTACCACCGCTCCGACCGCCACCGCCACCACCGCCACCACCGCCACCGCCGCCACCGCCGCCGCCGCCACTACTGCCACTGCTTCCGCCGCCGCCCCCGCCTCCACCACCGACCCCACTCCCACCAGCGCTCCCGCCACCGCTCCCTCCAGCACCGCCTCCCCCCCCACCTCCCCCACCTCCTCCCCCCCCAGCGCCACCACCACCACCCTTGCCCCCCTTGCCCTTGCCGGTGCGGCGCCTCCCACCAGGAGCAGAAGCAGCGCCAACAGACTCAGCACCAAGGAAGTCAACAGCAGCAGCAGCAGCGTAGGAGGGAGCGAGGGGAGAGGGAGAACACCCCTCAAAGATGGGGGTGCGAGGAGCGCCACGAGCAGCACCAACAGCTACAATGCTCTTTTCGGCCGCGAGCAGCTGCTCCTCTAGGAGGGCGACTGTGAGCTCAGTGGGACAGCGAGCAAGGAAGTGGTCTCGAACTGAGCGGAGGGTGTCAGGGAGACGGGTGACTATGAAGTGGAGTGTCCAGTACAGTGGAGGGGGGTTCTTAGCGCAGAACTCGGTGGGAAGGGCGGCACGCAGGCGAGCATCACTAGTGCGAAGGTGGGTGATAAGATCGGCGACTGTAGTAAAGGTGGACAGATCGGGGAACAGGTACGGCAGCATGAGGCGGCTAAGCTCGGCTGTGGCAGGCGAGGAGTAGCGAGCAACGACAGCATCGTACAGGGCCTTAGCGGATTTGCAGTCGCCAAAATGCTCGAGCTCAGCTAGCGGCAGGTGACTACGAATGGCTAGGCGAGCAGCTGCGTCACGAGTCTGCCAGTGGGAACGAACACTAAGCTCGGCTGTGGCAGCAGGAGCAGCGGCAGCACCAGACGCGTAGTCATAGAGGGAGATGTGGTCCGTGCTATTGCTCATAAGATACAACTGCAGGTCGTCGAGCCAGGAAGTGAACTGCACGGGACGGCCCTCAGCATCGAAGGAAAGAACGCGAATAGAGGCCATAGCTCAGGCGTGAGGGCACAGCAGAGCAGCGGCAGCAGCAGAGGGGACGCAGCAAGCGGGCAGTGAGGCAGCGGGCGGCGCTGCGAAGCAGGTAGCGGGCGGGCGGGCGGCGCTGCGAGCGGGCAGCGAAGCGGGCGGGCCGCGAAGCGGGCAGCGAGCGGGCGGGCGGGCTGCGAAGCGGGCAGCGGGGCGAGCGGGCTGCGAAGCGGGCGGGCCGCGAAGCGGGCAGCGAGCGGGCGGGCGGGCTGCGAAGTGGGCGGGCCGCGAAGCGGGCAGCGGGGCGAGCGGGCTGCGAGGCGGGCGGGCCGCGAAGCGGGCAGCGAGCGGGCGGGCGGGCTGCGAAGCGGGCGGGCCGCGAAGCGGGCAGCGAGCGAGCGGGCTGCGAAGCGGGCGGGCCGCGAAGCGGGCAGCGAGCGGGCGGGCGGGCCGCGAAGCGGGCAGCGAGCGGGCGAGCGGGCTGCGAAGCGGGCGGGCCGCGGAGCGGGCAGCGAGCGAGCGGGCTGCGAAGCGGGCGGGCCGCGAAGCGGGCAGCGAGCGGGCGGGCGGGCTGCGTGGCGGGCGGGCCGCGAAGCGGGCAGCGAGCGGGCGGGCGGGCTGCGAAGCGGGCAGCAGGACGAGCGGGCTGCGAGCGGGCGGCTCGGCGGGCGGGCGACACTGCGAGGGGCGCGCGAGGGCGCTAGTGAGGGGCGCGCGAGGGCGCTAGCAAGGGGCGCGCGAGGGCGCTAACGAGGGGCGCGCGAGGGCGCTAACGAGGGTGCGCGCGAGGGCGCTAACGAGGGGCGCGCGAGGGCGCTAACGAGGGCGCACGAGGGCGCTACGAGGCTAGGGCACGGGGTAGCGTGGTAACCGCATGCGAGCGGTGGTGGGCCCTTAAAAAAAAAACGGTCGGTAGGTCCTAGGGACCTCCTGCTCTGAATACCATTTCAGAATAGCTAGGCAAGAATGATTGAACTAGCAGAAGTTTGGGTACAAATATGAAACCCTAGTTGGGGTTGTACCCCATATTGGCTACCCCACTACAGCCTACAAGCATAATACAGTTTAACACTTTGGTCCGCTGCGGCTACACTAAGCGTCTTGGTTAGTATAACATATGCCAGTCTATCGAGAATGAGGGTGTATGTTTCTAACTGCTGGTGTAATAACCCCGTCTTTCCGACTACAGTTTGCCACTTCATGACCAATTGCGGTGGGGTGGCAAGAAGCAAGGGAAATACTTGTGCTTCTCGTTGCTTATAGTGGAACGGCGAAATGAAACGAATTAATTTCGCTCGACCCTGTAAAATGTTCGTTTGCGCTTTCGCACGTGCCGTGCATCTGGAATCGTGACTGTGTTCCGCGAAATGCTCTCCGCGATCCCTCCCACCCTCCTGTCAGTGCGCACGGCTGGCGCAAAGGTGTCATCGGGGTCCGGCACACCCCACGACGCGCACTTGAGGTGACGAGCGCGAACTCCTCCCCGCTCCTCCTTCCCTGCCGTACCCGCCCCAACCAACTTGTATGATCCCGAAGTGGCCTAGTCAGTAGAAAGAGGCACTTCCGATAGATGAGGTCCTGGGATCGAACCCACCCCCGTGCAGGCGTGTTCGGCCAGCCCCAAGTAGGGGTTAGGGCGCTGTGTGAGGTCGGATTTGAAATTCAAAAAAAAGTGCGAACTTATTGTGGTTACCAGTTTCGCCAATTTCGCATAGAGCTGTTAGCTTGCGAAACTTCGTCAACTTTGGGTTTGGCAACATGCGAACTGTAAACTTGAACAAGACTCGATTTTTAGATGTGAACGTGCTTCGGCATGTTCACATTCACGTGTGTGATTTCCCGCACATTCGAACATCGGGCGAAATGTGCGAGCGACTCACGAGTAGCAACAGTGGCACAACGAACTCACCACAGCCTTCGTGAACTCAAAAGAGGCCACGTGGCGCGAATCGTGGCACGTTCACCCCATACACCAACGACTCTGAAGCCGTCTTGACGGCTCACCCCAAAAATCCCGCCAACGCCCTTGTCATGTTTGGAGAATGACGAGAGCCCAGGTGGGCAGCCTCGGATATTTGTACCCCAGTGTTGAAGGTGAGCTGGAGGTCTAGGCTATCCGAAACCGAGGCGCAAGTCTGCCGCATGGCGCATTGTCAAGACGCCTGAACCGGGTAACCTACTTTGTAGAAATGCGGTTCGGTGCGGTTTTACAAGTTCGAATGCGCGCACTCGACCTTGTATGTGTATCTGCTTTTCTGCAGTGTTGTGGTCCAGATGTGCGAACCCCGATACAATGAAAGTCGAGTTTGGTTCGACTTATGTTCACTTAGCACAACTCGCCCTAAAATTGTAAACTTTCACGAATTTCACCGATCACACGCGCCCTTAGCACGTGCTCATCTAGGAGTGGATACCCCTTATAAACTGGTTACGACCAGAAAAACAAATTTAACCTAATTTAACCCAACCAACTTGTATGCCCATGCCCACTCGTCGTTGCATTTCACACCCCCACTGCCGCCATTCCTCCCCTCAATAGACGTACACGAGTTGCATCACGGAGTTTCAAGTGGTTGGATCCACGGCAACCTACGACTTGCACAAGCGAACCTAATTTTCGATACACAGCCAGCGCCGCCGATTTCCTCCCACCACCCATCGCCTTGCTTCCGTCTTTCCTCCATCGAAGCTGCTCGTGGCGTGGCAGTGAGCGGGTTGGCGCCCCATGAGTGGTGATGTTGGAGTACCTGCGCCACCTCGTGTCCATGAAGCGCCGCCGCTACATCCGCGACGGCTACGACCTCGACCTCAGCTACATCACGGACCGCGTGGTGGCCATGTCGTACCCGGCGGAGAGCCTGGAGGCCATGTTCCGCAACCCCATGTGGCAGGTGCAGCGCTTCCTCGCCGCCAACCACGCCCACCACTTCAAGGTGCCGCTCCGCCCGCCCCGCGCCCTCCCCGCCCCCGTTTGCCCCACCTCTGCATGCTCTCCCCGAACCTTCCCCTTTTCGCCCCTCCCTTGAGCCGCGGTCTCACTTTGCCGCGCACTGAAGTGCGTCCTGTGTTCTCTTTTGCGGGCTTGCTCGATATTGGTATCGCGATCCTCGTAGCGGGTGCAATTCACGCCGCTAATGGATACCCCCGCTTCGCGCCTGCATGCTGCGGTGTTTGCACGCCATGACGCGGCATGGCATGGAATGGCATTGAATGGCATGGGCACGGCATGGCGGGGCGGGGCGGGGCACGGGTCGGGGCAGGTGTACAACCTGTGCGCGGAGCAGTGGTACGACCCGTCGTACTTCGGCGGGCGCGTGGAGCGGTTTCCGTTCGACGACCACGGCGTGCCGGCGCTGGAGCTGGTGAGGGCGCTGTGCGAGAGCGCGCAGGACTGGCTCGACCGCTGCCACGACAACATCATCGTCGTGCACTGCAAGGTGCAAACCCCGCCGCGCCTGCTCCCCAAAGCACTCCCGCCCGTGCCCCTCCCGCGCCCTCTCCCTTTCCGTCCCCCGTCCCTGCCTTTGGTGCCTTGCTTCTACGTGCTCTGTCTAAGTCGCGCGCGCCCACGCCCACACGCACACACGCGGGCGCGCGCGGAGCACGCACGCACACCCTCCCTCCCCCTCTCTCCCCTCTCTCTCGCCAACACGCACACCGCATGCACACACGCGATCTCCTCTGGTGACGGGCATGACTCGTTGTGCGTGTCGCCCTTGACTGTCCATGGTCGCGCGACGTTCAGTTTGAGACGCGTCGCAAGAGCAAGCAGGCCCCCCCAACCCCATGTGCGTGGCGCGCGTGTGTGCAGGCGGGCAAGGGGCGGACGGGCGTGATGGTGTGCTGCCTGCTGCTGCTGGCGGGCATGACCACGGACGACGCCCTCGCACTCTACGCCGACCGCCGCACCCTCAACCGCGCCGGGGTACGCCCCTGCATTGCCACACCATTAGGAGCTCGCTCCACGTGACTGCCCAACCTCGCTCCATGTGCTTTCCTATTTACGCCTCATCAATCTCGTCTTATCAAGTACGCCTCATGCGCCCCATTGCTGCTGCTGCTCCACGTGCTGCACTCTGACCTGTTCCTTCATGGTCCGTCTGTCCCCTGCCATGACATGTGTGCCGGGGAGAGCAGGTGACGATCCCCAGCCAGGTGCGGTACGTGCGGTACTGGGCTCGCCTCGTGGCAGACGCGCACCGCAACGCCGCGCCCATCACGCTGCCACCGCCCACGCCGCGCACCATACGGCGCGTGCGGCTGTACGGCATGACGGGGCTGGACCGCGTGGACTTCGTCATCTGCACTCTCGATGAGGTGCCGCTCCCATGCCCACCGCCTCACCATGCACTGCTCAGCTACCTTGCGTGCTCATCATGCCTCCCACGTTGCACCGTTGGGTTTCTCTGTGCAACTGCTGCTGCGTAGGGGGGGAATCGAGTCAAGGAATATGCTGCTGCTGCTGCTGTGCGAGTCCATAGCTTACCGGGCGTGTTGTTGTGCGATGCGTGTGTGTGGTGTGCGTGGCAGGCGGACAAGGAGCGGTACAGTGCGGCAGTGGAGCGGTGCAGGGGCACGTGTGAGAAGGTGCGCATGGGCGTGGTGAGCAGCACCACCGCCACCTTCGTGCACTGGCTCATCACTCGCCCTGCCCTGCGCCAAACACTCGCTCTCCATAGAAACAACTTGCTGCCTGGCCCGCCTGCTGCTGCTTCCCCTGCTGCTGCTGCTTCCCCTGCTGCTGCTGCTTCCCCTGCTGCTGCTGCTTCCCCTGCTGCTGCTATTGCTGCTTCCCCTGCTGCTGCTGCTGCTTCCCCTGCTGCTGCTATTGCTGCTTCCCCTGCTGCTGCTGCTTCCCCTGCTGCTGCTATTGCTGCTTCCCCTGCTGCTGCTGCTTCTCCTGCTGCTGCTACTGCTGCTTCCCCTGCTGCTGCTGCTTCCCCTGCTGCTGCTATTGCTGCTTCCCCTGCTGCTGCTGCTTCCCCTGCTGCTGCTGCTTCCCCTGCTGCTGCTGCTTCTCCTGCTGCTGCTACTGCTGCTTCCCCTGCTGCTGCTGCTTCCCCTGCTGCTTCTGCTCCCGATGCTGCTTCTGCTCCCGATGCTGCTTCTGCTCCTCCTGCTGCTGCTTCTCCCGTTGCTGCGGCAGCAGTGGCAGCAGAGGCAAGAGGAGGCGAGGTGGTGAGAGCAGGGGAGGGGCGGAGGCCGTCCATGGCGCAGCTGGACACGGAGAGGCCACCCGACCCACACCACCCACCGCTCGAGCACTGCTTCGACCCGCCCTTCACTGTACGCCCTCCTGCTCTCGCCTCTCCGCTCTGCGCCCTCTCGACTCTCTCTTCCGTCAGTGAACTTCTGGGGCAAGCACCCGGTATGGTCTCTCATGCCTGCCCTGCGCTCTGCTCGTTCTGCCCTGCACATTCTGTCCTGCCGTGCGTGGTGCACGGGGTGTGAGCAGGTGGAGGGCGATGTGAGCATGCGCTTCATGGACAAGATGGGGGCGCGCCTCTTCACCGTCTGCTTCAACACCGCCTTCACCAAGGGACTCCTCTCGGTCAGCATGCACCCCTTTCCATCTCCACCTCCCACTGCCGCTCTATGCTCCTGCTGATGTTCCGTCTCCTATGCTCTCATAACCCCCACCACCCGCTCTTTTCCTCTCCCCACCTCTGCAACCTGCCTGCTGTTCTGCCTCCCAAAATTCTTCTCACAACCACCCAGTTTTCCCCTCCTTCCCCTTCTCCCACCCTCTCCACTTGCCCCTTACCTCTATCCCGTCCACCCCCCGACCCCTCCCCCCTGCACGGGAGCAGCTGTCCCTGGGCGAGGTGGACAAGCCGTCGGGGCGGCTGCTGAGGGCGTGCGACAGCAGCTTCTGCATGGAGGTGCTCTTTGCGCAGGACTGCTGCTCCCAGCCCCCACCCTCCCCCGCCGCTGCCCGCCCTCGCCTCACACAAGCTGGCTCGTGACCAGCGCACATGGCAGCAGCGCAAGGCTCGCCCATACACACTTTCCACCTAACCAGCTTACACCTCTAACCCTCTTACGAATAACCCAAGGCAGCAGTGAAGCTGTCGTGCCACCTTGTGAACATATGTGCCCTTCACCCCCCCACCCACCCCCCCACCCCACACCCGTTTCCCTTCTCCTCCTCCTCCTCCTCCTCCTCCTCCTCCTCCTCCTCCTCCTCCTCCTCCTCCTCCTCCTCCTCCTCCTCCTCCTCCTCCTCCTCCTCCTCCTCCTCTTCCTCCTCTTCCTCCCCCTCATCCGCCACCGCTCTTGTCGATCTCTCCAACAGCGGGCCGCCCCCATGTGACTACTAACCCTGCACCACTGCTGTATTTATCCATGTAGTATTTAACATGCTGCTACTGCACCCCATAGCATGCACCAGCAGGTTCCCCTGCAGGCAACAGTTGGCAGCGCCAACCACCCATGTGCGCCGCAGCCTGCCCCCTTGTTGGCTAACTAACCATATCTACTCTCAATTTTGTTGGATTCACCAGCTCCATCTGTAAAGTGTTGTGTTGTTTGTTGCTGTTACTACTTACGGTACACATAGTCTCGACATTGCTGATTGTGGGGCCATTGTTTTTTCAGTGTTAATACAGTATCAGGTGTTGTTTCTCACATACCGGTACCAGTACCAGTGCCCTAGATATCAGACTTTGGAGTCTGATTCAGAGTCCGTTCAGACTTTTTTTTTGTACCTAGTCTGAACTCAAAGAATTTTCTTTTACACCAGGCCCTCAGATATCAGCGTAAAACACGCTGATTAGGCTGATTTTGTAGCTGTGATTTTCGTTTTCCCTGAAATTTCAGTATATTCTTTATGTTTGCACTGATTTTTCAGTTTGAAGTGTAGGACTACCCTGACGAATTTGTGTGTAGGTGTACCAGTAACACTGAAGCTTCAGTACAGTGTACCGAGTCACACTGATTCGGGCATAGCAAAATGTATTGGGTACAGGGATGGGGTGCGCGTACATGGGGCTTTATGCCCAGAATCATTGCCACATACAAGTGGACGTGTCACATACTCGTGACTTTTCCGGTTACAGGGCGACACCTTAGACAGCTACGCTACTAGCGCTGCCCAGGGAGTGCAGGGGTTAGTTTTTGGACTGATGAATCATTAAGCAATGAAATTTTACCCTGACAAAATCAGCATAAACTTGACCCCCAACGCTGATTTGGTCACTAATTTGGGCAGGGCACGCTGATCCATCAGCATACCCTGAAACCAATCTGAGGGCCTGTTTTACACCCTGTCTGATTTCTCAGAGTTTTTTTAAATGACTTGTCTGAAATTTCAGAGTAGTCAGGGTACATTCCTGTGTCGACATTTGTGTCTCAAAGCGTTTGTGACGCGTAAAAATGACATAGAACGTACACTGTCTCAATCGCGAGTCGCATTCTAGCGACCATTACTGTATTTTTTATTGGTCAGCGTGAAACGCGCTGACGTCGCGGACGAATTGAGAACCGACGCGTCATTTTTGTAAAATCGCATGCGGTTCGAAATGTCAATGTACCTGGTCTTCCCGAAATGCCAATTTCGCGCAGGAAAGAGTCCCGCGCGTCGAAACCACACCCCAGCCGCGAGATTGAAGAAACAGGTGTACAATATTTTTTTCCGCCCAATCAAATGAGCCCAACTGTGCATTTCGCATGGTCGCCTAGTTTCGTGGTACATTGATTTTTTGTGACGCGAGATTGATAAATTTTTTCGACGCGACTCGGGAAAACGGGGATTGAGACACAAATGTCGACACAGGAATGTACCCTCATAGTAGTGTAGGCTGAAACCAGTTATACAGGGGTTTCCGCCAGCCTGAATGAAAGGTTATCGGAACGAAAATTCGTCGAAACTTTTTTTCGATACACCCACATGTGTACGGGCCAGCACTAACGATTTCCTCCGGGTAAAACTGCTCGAGTAGGGGCACCAGAATACACTACTTTGTCGACGCTGTCTCGAGTGTCGAATTCATTTGAGGCTTATAATAACCCATAAATTGTGAAACTAGATAGGCAATCGTACATGGCCAAAACGATTTAGCGAATCGCACTTGGCGAAAAGCGTATTGGTGCAAACGAAAGCCTTGTCGCATATGAGTCTCGTACTTCAGCAGAACCGCACATCATTTCCCCTTGCCAAACCGAGTCAAAATTTGATTCGTTTTGAGGTAGTCTGAGGCCTCAGAGGTAGTCTGAGGCCTCAGAGTACACCCCTCTTCCTAGTCTGGCTGTCAGAGTTACCTATTTTTTTTATTCTGAAAAATCAGACAAGCACAACTTTTTTTGTCTGAACTGTCAGAGTTACTTCAATTTAAGATGTTCATGTAGTTTCATAACAGCATAGCTATAATAGCATTGAAGCTGATTACATCATACCAACGCGATTGTGCGGCCAGAAATGGGGCACTCTGATTGGTCATTTTTCAAGAGTTAGGAACACTGAGCAGTCAGGGTCGAGGTGTGGGCATCAGACAATGGCCTCGTGCAAGTGCCAAGTGTGGCAAGCTCACAATCAGCTGACCTGGCAGCAGGCACGGTATCGCTCGGAACTTTTATGTGCTGGGCGCGCTGGCAGCAGCACGAGTTTTCAACTGTGTACACCCTTTGTGCGCGGAATATTTTCTCCTAAAGCGGCAGCTTCGAAATTTTGACTCGGTTTGGCAAGGGGAAATGATGTGCGGTTCTGCTGAAGTACGAGACTCATATGCGACAAGGCTTTCGTTTGCACCAACACGCTTTTCGCCAAGTGCGATTCGCTAAAATCGTTTTGGCCATGTACGATTGCCTATCTAGTTTCACAATTTATGGGTTATTATAAGCCTCAAATGAATTCGACACTCGAGACAGCGTCGACAAAGTAGTGTATTCTGGTGCCCCTACTCGAGCAGTTTTACCCTGAGGAAGTCGTTAGTGCTGGCCCGTACACATGTGGGTGTATCGAAAAAAAGTTTCGACGAAGTTTCGTTCCGATAACCTTTCATTCAGGCTAGTGGAAACCCCTGTATAACTGGTTTCTGAGTGGACCCCCGATACAAGTCTGAGGCTCAGCCTACACTACTATGACTACTCTGAAATTTCAGACAATTCATTTTAAAAAACTCTGAAAAATCAGACACGGTGTAAAAAAAAATTCTTTGAGTTCAGACTAGGTAAAAAAAAAAAAGTCTGAACGGACTCTGAATCAGACTCCAAAGTCTGATATCTAGGGCACTGCATCCTGGGTAAGGGGGGGGGGCGGGGTGGGGGGGGGGGAGTAATTGAGTATCAGTTGTAAGTCAGGGTTTTACGGGGGGCCTTTTACCGGTAATCGAGTTCCGGCCATAAGCGCCATGCCATGCTCCAGATAGAAGTGTTGGCGCCTTTGATCGGACGGCGCCTACATCGGGGGCCATACGGTATGAGTTGTACTTGTTGGGCTGAGAAAAGCCCTTAGGATCTTTGCAAGGCTAAGCTCTGAGTAAGAAAAGTTGTAGTTGCGGAAGCGTTTAATGATAAGTACTTGAACCACCTTGCGCTGGTATGTGAGGGCAAAGTAGATTGATTAAAACAAAGGGATACTGACAGGGCCTCAGATTCGTTTTTAGGGACCCTGGGCCCTCAGGGCATGGCTAAAAAATACGTGTCCTCCTTAGGGCAGAGTCCCTAGGGGGACCCTGATTTCTCAAGGCATTCCAGAACTTAACCCTGAAACTTCAGAGCATTTTTTTCGTGGTGGGTGTGAAGGGGGTACAGTAACTGGTAGTCACGCCTGCCACATCCTTATATATTGCCCCATGTGGGCCATTTTGTCGTCAATGTGAGTGGTGGTGGGCGACTCGCGTGTTTCCGGCGCCAAATCTCGGAAAGCAAGGACCGGCCCCCTAGGCGCATAGTGTAACTGTTTCAGGGTACGCCATATAGGAACCCTGACGCCTCAGGGCAGGCAGGTCTACACTACTCTGAAATCTCAAGGTGATATAAAAAAGACATCCTGAAATCTCAGGGCTTGAAAAACCTGAACCCTGATTTTTCAGGGCAAGGGGGTTATGTCAACCCTGAAATCAGGGTAATCAGGGTAAATTAAACTGATATCAAGGGCCCTGGATACTGAACAGGGTGTTTATAAGAGTACAAGGAATATGAAGAGATTTAGCTAATAACTGTTTTACTGTTGCTGTTGCGGTTCGATACAGTGACGACTCGGGCAACTGCTCAATAACGAGTCAGTTGTTTGTCCTTGCTGTCGCGCTGTATTTGTCGAGTCAAAGGTCAGCGACCTTTGAACTTTGCGTAACCTCCGGCTGTTACATTTCTGTCAACCTCCTAGGTTGACTCGTTGATGCTTCGTTGTTGCTTGCTTCGCTTGTGGTTCAGTGCTGAGTGTTTCGACACTTCAGAAGTGCTTAAGTCACTTGTTTCCAACACTCCCCTTCGCTTCTGGAGTGTCGCTGCTGGTGACGTGGCCCTGTCTAGTCAGTAGGATGCAGTACTCGAACTTCTGCTTTCCGAGCCTTTTGGTCAAGTAATCAGCTGCCATCTCGGATGTGGGACAGTAGGACAGTGTTGTAGTCTGCAGTCCACTTAGGGGTCGCGGATGCCCATAAAGCCGCCTAAGTAGAAACTAACGACTTTAAACCGCCTCTGTTCAAAACGCTGTCACGACTATCTCCGATACGAAACGAGGCTGAAACTTGGACAGCAGTTAGCCTTAGGTGTCTGCTTTCCAACGGTATATTACTTGCTACTATCAGCGGTGTGTGCACTACGCAGTGAACAAAAACGTAAGCTTGGCTGGAAAACGTGTAGTTTCATTGATGCAAGGAAGAGGTGAGTACAACATTGCCTAGGGGACTCATAAGGGGTTGGGGTGTCAGAATGATATGTTTGTCTAGCCTGCAGTGGGGTACTCTATAGCGAGTACAGCCCGAATTAGGGTTTGCTATATGTACTCAACTGCCTGCTAGTGAAAAAACCCCTATTTGCTGTTTCTCGTTTTCGCCCTCATCTTGACATGCTATCAGAGCAGGTCGACCCTCCTGGGTCGATCCTGTGGGTGGTCCCGCCCGATGCTTCCGCTGCTGTCTTGTGTGTCGCGCGCCCCGTGGCGCGCGACGTTTTTTCTTCCCGCCACGCGCTCGGGGCGCCTGGCGGTTTTCTGCTCGCCGCACGCACGAATCGCGCTGCGGTTTTCTGCCCACCGTGCGTCCCGAGGCGTGCGGCAGTTTCCTACCCCGTCGACCCGCGTGTCGCCCCCCGTCGACCGTCGAAGCGCCCCCCGTCGCCCGTCGACTCGCCCCTGGGCCCCGCGCGGGCCGCGCGCGGCCCGTACGACCTGCGCCAGGCCCGCGCGCGGCCCGTACGGGCTGCGCCAGGCCCGCGCGCGGCCCGTACGGGCTGCGCCAGGCCCGCGCGCGGCCCGTACAGCCCGCGCGCGGCCCGTACGGCCTGCGCCAGGCCCGCGTGCGGCCCGTACGGGCTGCGCCAGGCCCGCGCGCGGCCCGTACGGACTGCG